TACCTTTCGTGCACCTTCTCCAAGTTTTTTTGCGGCATTCTCCAAGTTTGTTGGTACGACTAACGTTTCGACAACTAATTTGATTTACCTATATTATCTGTGCACTAATATTTTCATGACAAATCTGATCTTACTGCCTTTTCTGTTCTTATCGCAAGTTTCAATGTTAAAAAGTCCGGGAGGCGGCTTCTCCTCTTTCCAACGCGTGCCTATTATTCCGCGACGATGATTGATGTATACAAGACTGAATGATGTTGCTATTGCTAAGCATGTACTGGTGCACCTTTACTAATTTAACCTCCAAAATCAATACGAAAATGAAATGCCTAAAGGATAATAGATTACATACAAACGTGAGAGATAGAAAGTAGTAGTTCTCACATCTTCGCTCTAAGCAATAATACATGTATATATTCCTTGTAATAGCCAGTCAAACAATATGTAAGCTGATATGTGCGTGCGGCATGCAGCTGAAATATGCATTCTAACTTTTTAAGCCATGAGACCGGCCGCCAGTAGGGCGACGAGGCCAAATCCTGCTGCGGCCCCGACGGAGGTTGCGGTAGAGGAGGGCGGCGGCGGGTTGGTCGCGCCGGGACCCGCGGCCGGCATGGGTGACGATGGCGAGGAGGCACCCGGCACCACTTCGATGGTGACCTTCATGCTGGCAGCGGCGGTGGGGCTGCAATGGCTAGGGACGCCACAGATGAAGTACCGAGTGCCTGTGGCGTTGAGGGAGATGACGTCGTTGCCGGAGGTTAAGGTGTTGATGGCGCCGTCGGTGCTGCAGGAGTCGTAGCCGGCCTTGCTCACCTCGACCACGTCGTGCGCCGGGGTCGAGTACTTGAAGACGATCTCATCACCCGGGTGGAACTTCTTGTTGGACACCCAGTTGCTGTAGTCGGTGTTGAGGGTCCACGAACCGCCCGGCTCGCCGACACCGTAGGTCGCCGCCGATGCGGTGCCTAGTAAGAGTGCCGAGATTGCGGCCACGGCAAGGAGGGTGATCTTCATGGCAGCCATTGATTGCGGTTGGAACTGGAAGGAGGAATGCAAAGCAGAGGAGGTAGAAGGCTGATGCTTAGCGGGGGCTGGGGTTGCTGCTGTGCTTGTGCTGCCGTGCGCTTTTATATACAACCAAGCGCCCAGCGAGATGGGTTGGTGGAGTGGCATTTGGATATTGGATTTGGGGGTTGAGTAGTCATGCGCGTTTGAACAAAAGCCAGTAGTAGTACTACCTGGTCATACGCGGCCGGGCTTGGGTTGGTGGCCTGCTGAGTGCTGACCTCTTCACACTTGGTTGTGGCTCATGCTGGAGCAACCTTGACTTTCTGGCTCGTGTAGCCGCGCAATGGAATGCCGCTCGTACCTTCGTCCACAACCTGGATCTCGGTCTTCCTTCCACATAGCATGTGCCGGTCTCCTTCTAGATCTAGGCGAGGGTTTCGTCCATGGATGACGAAGGTATTATCTCCTGCCTAGGAATTTTAGCACGAGTTTTGCACACAGGAGTATTTATCTGAAATCTATTTTTATCTACTACTAGCTAATTGCCCGTGCGTTGCAACGGGATATATTTATTCTGATATTTTGATGATTCCATATTAATCATGTCTAACATATACCTCAGAATCCACACGCACACCATGTACTGTATGCTTTTTTACTGTTAAAGCAAGCTTCCCAATCCAAGCTCGCCACCCCTATCAGTGATGCATCCGGCTGCCTAACCCCACACAACCAACATATACTTTGAATATTATTAACTCATACATTTAGTTGTGTTTTTTTGTAATTATACATTTAGTTGTGTTATATTTCACTTTATATTGGTCTTAGTAAGGTGTACCTATAATTTT